GTATGAAGATAATATAGTAGGGTAACCTTATGGAGATATCATTGGAGGACGATGTATATAGAATGTAGATGGCGACACTGTACTTATATCCAAGTCAGATCTTTAGGTCATGTCTGTGCTTGAGTATGAATTATAATTTAAAATCTTCTTTTTCATTTGAGGCCTGCCTTTCCAAAACGTTGTAAGTGCCATTTTTAAAATTTTACAGGAGAAGCAAAAAACTGATTTTTTCAGCTAGCTCTAATAATATTGCAATTCTCTACAATGAAGTTGGAGTTTATCTTATGTTTAACGTTTATCAAGGATGAAATCGGCTGAACACGTATCGATAACCCAATAAAAAAAATCTAAAATCGCTTAGTTCCAAAACGTTGTAAGTCCTAACCTACGTTGCAAGTCAAAACGTTGTAAGTACAAAGAAAATCGCAGGTCTTATCTGATGTAATGTCATAATAAAACACTATTATTTTATAGAATAACATTGTAACTTTATTAATACACGTTTGTTACAATAAAAAACGAATATGTCGAACAATACTCAGATGCAATCTAGCCCAGAAGCTGTGAATAGTATTCCTTTGCTTCATTTGTGAGGTAAGGAAGCATGGCTCTAATATGGGCTACTTTTTCTTCTGGAATACCATGCTTCGTAGGCTGTTCATTAACTTCAATTGTTGCAAAGTCGTCAATAGTTACTCCTTTTCGCAGGATATTAGTTTTTGTAGGAAACTGTAAGGCTCCATGCGACTTCCAGACTTCAGCTGTTCCAAACTGATCTCTCGACAATCTTATTTGCGCAGCTTCACTTATTTTAAGTTTTGTCGTATTAAGGTTCTTTGCTACAGACCTCCAGTCGTAAAAATCATCAAAAACATCTACAACGAAGGGATTTTTCTGTTTAGCTGTTGCAATCGTACGAACAACATCCTTAGGGACCATACACTTACACCTTTTTTTTTCTTTTCAATAATACCAAAGTATCTGTCACAGGTCAAGAATGTGTGTCCTTTTACAGGAAACTTGTGTATGATTTCGGTAAAAATTCCTGTTGCCAACAATGTCAAATACATGGATAAAACTATCTGGTTTTTGTTTTGCGCCCCGCATTTATCCGACCACACTATTAGTTTTTTCTTATTCGTGGTAATTTGTTTTGTTAAGTAGCTATAAACACAATTCGCTACTTCCAAAGATCCACGTCCGCCAACAGTCTCAGGCCAAACGCACATGAACCCATTTTCAATATCTGAATCATGAATTCCCAAATTGCAACAAGCCAGTTGCCTGGAATAATACATTTCGGAATGTGAGCTGCGGCACATAAATTTGCTGTTGCATATCATACGCTATAACATAAAACTCGGAGTGTTTGGCATTTCTTACATCTGCTTGCATTGCTTTAGTAGCATACTCAACTTTTCTGTGATGAAAATCTAAGGCCATTTGAGCTCCATTTTTTTCTGCATTATCACCTGTATTTCCTACTTTAGTGGATAAAGAGTCATATGTGGAACAAGTGTCTACACGGGGCACTCTAAAGCTTAGATTAAAGTCTGTTAAAAAAACTTGGTTATACCATTGTCTGGAAATTGGCTTCTGCGGCAGTATTTTTCCAGGAAAGCCCTATACATTTTGCTAACACTTAAATCTGGAGATAGGTATTTAGATTCCGTTTTACTTCGACTGTAATGGCTAATTTCTGACGGAAAAGAGGAAATATGCTCTCTGATTTTATCTCTCCACTCTTGCATGTTCTGTGTAGTTCTAGATCCTCCTCTTTTGCCACTGTGGTCCATTGTTCCCGCCAAAAATTTTTCACATAAAATCTGAACTCTGCGAGGTGTTAATCCGAAAGTATTGCAGAATAGTTTTAGGCAAACTCTTACCTCAGATCCTCCGGGTAGTATCAGATAATAACGAAAGGTGTGCTGCCTTCTGCTTTGTCCTGGGTGATCGTATGTTCCATGTCTGCGTCTGCGGATATATTGAGGATGAATTAATCTCTGCAGATAAGCCTCTTGCTTGCCGGAGAGGCTAGCTGTGAGTTTAGTGTGCATCCACATACTCGCAACAGTTAAGCAGTGATTCTCCGGTCACGTCGTGGATGAGTGACCGCTGGGAGGATCCACCATGGGCCGTGTCACTATGGGACTCATCCGACTAGCGGTTAACCACCGACGACGTGGAATGAATGACGATGAATCAGGGAGTGAATTGTTGATGAATGAGAAAGTAGTAGGATCTTCAAATGGTGGTACAATAAGCCGCAGGCTTCAGTGCTGCCAGGCTATAGACGGATTAGGGTGGAGATCCAAAGGGTGTAAAAACTAAAAAAAAAGCCTCTTGCTTGTCATATGAACCCAAATCGTTGAAGTTTTCGAAAAGGCTAATCCTATATTCCAGCCTTAAAGAATTATTTATTTTAAGCTCATTCAAATTCAATTTATCTTACCTCAGTAGGTGGAACCCTTGCAGGAACTTAGCGACCACTAGAAGACATGTATTCTTGACCACTATTTCCCTTGAGACTTTTAACGTTTTTTTTTTTTTTTCATTTTTCAGGAGAACGAACACGTTTTTTAACCCGCTTATCAACATTTGGTTCGGCCTCCGCCATGTTTCTAATCGTACTAAACACTAATCGGTATATTTGCACGTCGTAACATCCGACGAGCGCGATGGCACTTGCAACATTCTGACTTTCGCGTCTACTTAATCACGTGATTTTTCACTGCACACACAAAGTGCTTTGTGGGAGCGTAAAGCATGGCATTTAAAACATTAATAACATAAAAAGTACATTTGAAGCAAACTGGCACTTACAACGTTTTGGAAAGGCAGGCCTCATTTCTACTTGTCTTCGGTAATGTATTTTTATAGTTACAATTTTTACTATTGCAAATTATTACAAAAGGGTATTTGAAGGTCACATAAAATGCCAAAATAATCAATATAATAAAATAAACCAGTTTTTGTTTGAAAAAGATTGAATGAATTGAGATTGGGTGAAATTTTACTATAATAGGGAACATTTTTTTTCTATATTGTGGTTGGATGTTGGATTGATCGCTGATGGATAATTAAAACATGAGTTTTACGCTGTTAATTTTTATTCACTTTTATATTATAATGGTATCAAATTAAGAATAGGACATGAACAACTGAAGATTATTGTTCAAAATGAGACGAATAGACGGAAATAAAAAATGCTTGGATAAAATGTTCTGAAATACAGGATGTTAAGTTGAAAATTAAAAAATTAAATATGTAGGGATAGTTAAAATTTTATTATTCAATATAATTTTACTAAAATCGGCACTGACAAAATTCAACTAACAGATTTTTTTGCTGTTAGGTAAACTTATAACATAATACCAAACACGTTTAGTGAAATTATACTAAGTAATAAAAACATGTAAGCCACTAATTTTCAGTTTTCAATTTTTAACACCATTTGAAATGAATCGAGTACCAATTTATGGTAGCGGAATCAGTAGCACATTTAGGAGTATTATTTTCGAAAGACAAAATTTAAAATTTTTCATTTAATTTTTTTTTAACATAGAAATACTTTGCTGCATGCCCTACAGTAATGAAACGCTCAACGAAGGCGTCTTAAAAAATAAATTATAGAAAATACGAATATTACATATTTAATTAGATAGTTAACAGACATAAACCTTCATTACTCAGGACGTTAAGTGCTCAACTTTGGATTTCGTGAAGTTCAGTTACCGACTACTACTATTTTTTCTGAACTGTTATCAAAATACTACAAAATTTAACAGAAAGATTACATTAATTATATTTTTCATATTTTTTCCAAAATAAAAAATAATTTTTTTATCTGTAATTGAATCCGGGTTGGGAAATCCAAACTTGAACGCTTATTGACTTAAGTCTTGAAGGCACTTATATCAAGTTAATTATCTAATTAAATATGTGACGTGGCTTTTTAAAATACTATCATTGTGCGCTCCACTGCTGGTGTGTCCATCTTCTACAAGAGAAAAAAGAAGGAAACGTTTGTAAAGTTGCCTTGCACAAATGTGTACCAAAAAAGGGCAACTGGCTCTCGTAAGCCTTTTTCGTTTAAACGTCTCATTATTTGAACACTAAGCGCCAACATGGGAAATATATGTTAAAGTTAGTTTTAAGAACTTTTAACATTCAAATAAAAACAATTTATAAATCTATTATTAAAATCCGTGTTGGAACAAAACATAAAATTGTTGAATTTGAAAGATAATATTCTAAAAATGGAAAGGACTTCGGTCGAGAACCTATTCGACTGAATATTCCGTTCAATCAATGACAATTGTTAATATTACTATTCTTAAATATTTTATTTTATTTGCTTGTAAATTTATGTGTAAATATATTTATAAACTACACTGGTTAACAGTGTTTTTGTGGACGGGGGTTTAAGAGCGTTTTTGGGCGAACGTTTTACCGATTTCAAATCGCTTCTCTGGCCTATAAATCTTCAATTGTTTCAAAAAGAATAAAATAAAGTAGTTCTGTCAAAAACTAAAATAAATTTGCTATCTCGAAGTCCCCGTCGATTATTTCCAAACTTTTCCTTAACGTCTTAGTTGTAAGTTTCATATTACATTTTTTTTTAATTTGCTATTTCTGTTGAATCATTAATTTTCACTTGCGTCATTGTTCTTCTGAAAAAGCGAAATGTGACTCACGTTTTGCTTGATTGCCTTTAGTTTTTTTGAGATAGTCAACCAGTTGAAATAAAAAAAATGCAAATAATAATAATAATAATAATAAGACATTAATTTATTTATTTATTTATTTAATCAGTTTTGTCTGAGCTAGCTAAAAGGCTGTATTCTATAAACAATGAAAAATAGTGATTGTTGTTTTGATATACTTAAAACATTTTCACTCGAACGGCGTTCGTGATTCAATTTAAAAATACTTTCCAGAATAAAACCATGTGTTCCGGTTTTGACTTCGTTTATTACTAAACAGCGAAGGTATATACAGAAACGTTAATCCACAATCTAAATCAAGAACTATCACAAGAAAATCACTATGTTACAATTAATTACTTAACCAAAAACTAGAATACTTATTAATGAACGTATATACAGAATGGGTGCATTTTGTTCATACTTAACATTACACTTGCGCACTGACACTTAATCTAGATTGAATATAACTACAGATACAAATATTTACAAAGATAATTTTCCAAACCGTGATAAATTATAAAAAAATGTTTATAAGATTTTCTTTTATGCTAAAAGTTAGGACTTTATAATTATTGTGTCGTTCGTAGAATTCTGTACTAAATAGAGCACTAATTTTGAATATAAATTTTAACCATTTTGACAAGTTGTTGGACCTTGTAACATTGCATAATGAAATATAAAGACTAACTGAATATGTCTGCCACAGATAGACCACTTGTAGGTCTATTGATTTTGTCTTGAGCTGTTCCTAATCAAAGAGCGGAGCTATTGAAAACTTTCTTTCAAGGTGATTTATTTTAAGACTCAGAGCCAGCCGAGAGAACATTTTTTCTTATATTCATGAACAACAGCCAAGATACATTTAAAAGTCACTAATATATCCCTGTGACTGCTATTTTTTTTTTAATTTGTTTTCCAGTGTGAGGGTTTGATTTTTCCCTGATTGGTGATTTTCTTGATCCTTAACTCAATTTCTTGCAAACTTTGATGAAATTTTGTAGCAAAGCTTGTTCGAATTTTGAAAACTATAAAAATATTCAGCTATTTTTATGGTTATAAACTTTTCCAACACTTAGTCCAGACATAGTTATTGCTAAAAGATGCTTATTGCGTCCAATTAGAGGTACTTAAATTACATGCAACATTTTCAGAAGCTTATTCCTTTTTTGTCTTCTACTTGGAACTTTTAAATTTTTTTAAAACATTGGACATTCTTATTGTTTATATACATTGACATAACCGCACATAACCAAAATATTGACCTAAGTCCTTAACCACTTTTTATCAACTTCATCCAAAAATTGTATTTGTACGGTTTTGTCAACTAGAATAAATTTTCATTATTATGTTTAATTTTTTATGTCTTTTATCATGAATTGTTATTTTTAAATAAATAAAGATATGTTTTTAACTTTAATAGGTAGGTGATACATAGTAGAGGCCACGTGCCTCATTGAAAAGAAGACGTAGAGTGCGTATCTGCATAGCATTAAAAATTGACTACTTCATTAAATCGTCAGTAGATGGCGCTCGAGATTGCATCCAACATTTTTTACTGTTGCATTATCCTACTATATTATCTACAACGCTGCGACTATAGATATACAACAGTGTGGAAAAGCCAAATGGAATAAATTCATTATTTCGATTAGTGTACATATTTATAGAAAATCCCGAAACACGTCAAATTTAAATTATAAATTGACATTCTTTAAAGTAAAAATGTGATTCCTACCTTCAACCCCCTTTGAGTAACAGTTACCAACCCCTAATTTTTTAAATAGGAAATATAGGCTTGTGATATATCGTTTGAAAGGTCCCTTTATTCTCTATCCAAAAATGTTATTGTTTTTAAATTTATTGCAAAAATTAACATAAAAAAAAATAAAATCATCTTAGTACCGAAATTCTCTAGAGTACCTGCACTACTATTTCCCGTTTCAGTCTCTATAATAAGACAGTACCTAAGCAAAAACCATATTAGTGTTCTTTTTTAATATCAATTTAAAAAAATCCTTTAAAAAACTATCAGAGCAATGTTAGTTTATTTAAAACGCCTTAGCAAATTGGTTTGTAATAATTAGAAC